GGAAACTGCCATTTCCTGTAGCATAAGCTTATGGCCATGTTCATCCATATTTTCATCACTACCTCCAGGTGGAATAATAACGACTGGTTGTATCTTCAACCGAATTTGAAGACAACACAATCCCCAGAGGCAGAATGCCTATTTCTGCGGTAGGCAAAAATGTATTAAGAACATGCAACAATGCTGGTCTATAAACATCAAGGCTCTTCTAAAGTAAAGCAGATGGACCCTGCAGATACCTAAATGATGATATTGTCATATTATCATATTTAAAAAGTAATATTTGCCAGCCTTTGCTGCAGAAAACTTTATCTACACCCTAACTTCCAGTTTATACCTTCAAAACAATTGGTATACATTAGAGCTTTGTTTGACACAGCTCAGCTTTGCCTTCCTGACCTAGTGTAGGATAAAAGCATCCTAAATCTAGTAGAGAAATTTTATCATAGCTGATCACTTGAATTGTGTTGTGAATGTTAGGTCTGGTACTCTGCATTCAGAGCACTTCTGATGTATAGGTCTGGGTATCCTTGATGAATCCTCACTTTATAGTAGAAGTAATTCCAGTTTCCACAGGAATTTTCCCTTTGCATTTGTGTACCAATTTCAGGACAATTTTGTGATGATGGTAATACATAGACGACCTCCCAGGACTGGATTTTCAAATTCAGGATATGTAATGAAAAGTACAACGTGAAGGAAGGAAACACCCCTGTAATCTATGTAACCTCATCAAGAAAAAGTGTGCCCAAAGTTTGGAGACAGAGTCCTTATGCAGACATTTTCAAATGATCTTCCTTTATATGGGTATGATGGCTTATCTGCCTCAGAGGGAAGCTCTGGATTGCCCCTCCTATGTCAAGAAGCCCAGCAAATGCAGAAGACAACTTTGTCCTGGATGTGTTGTATTCTTAGAGAATATGATCTACAAGTTTGTCTCTGGGAAGGCTTATTCTGCTTATGATACTGGCATTGTCTTTATATGCTCCGTACTTGTCTGCTAGTACCTCTTATATCGAAGTTACTGACCATCCTCAGAGGAGAGAAGATTTCATAGTTTTTGATGGAGCCTTATGTTGCCCAGAGCAGATGTAGTTCTTAAGTCTGCAGGTGGCCTTTAAAATTGAAAGTCTGTCAACCGGGGCATCTTGATCCTGGGTTAAAATAGAGCTTCCTTTCTGACATTGACTCCTAGAAAGAGAGAGAGCTTCTGAGGTCTTGAGAACATATATCAACATATATTCTTTTTTAGATGGATCATAGTAGAAGGACTTGCAATTTTAAGTTAAAAATGTAGATGGAAACTCATGGATCCCTCTAAATGCCCTCTGGAAAAGTGCCTGCCTAGGGTTGTCTTTCTAGATTATAGACCAGTTGCATTTCCGTTAATTTGATGACTACTTGCGACTATTATAAGCTGGTTGAACATGAGTCAGTATTTGCACTATAATCCTTAGTTTCATATGTGGCTTGACAAATTTGAAAACATCCTATATTTGGTCACTTGTTACTGTTCTTTGGACTAAACTAACGATAGCTCCTTTTGATCACTTTATATTTGTGAACTCAGCTTTTTAATGTGGGATATAGCTTTCTTGATGGCAGTGACATCAGCTTGCAATATGAGTAAGCTTTTGACTATGAAGACAGGATCCACCTTACTTCAGATTTTATAGCAAGAACATTTTTTTCTGAAGCTGGTGATTAAATTCTCCCACATTAAACCATTCATCCCTTAGCACTTTTTTGTGTTTGCATACTTGTTTAAATGAGATCTTTCTCCTCAAGCCCAACATTAGAAAGTACTTGATATTTTACTTTGAGATGAAAATTCTAGTTGCTTCAAGTACCATATACTATCAGTAAAATGCCAACCAGGCTTATGCTCTCTATTGTTGTGACTTGTTCATCTCACAGTTCTGTCATTTTTCAGTGTGTCCTGTGTAAGGTAGGATAGGTTCTGAAGTTAGCCTGAGTCTGTTTCAGTTTGTGTGCAAAACAACTACATGGCACAAACTACCGTATTAAACATTGTAATTTATAACCAATTTCAAGAACAAGAATTCCTCTTGGATTTATTAGTTCTGTTGAGCCAAAGCCAAATATCTGCTCTCACTTCTCTTAACTTAAGACCTGTCTGCCCGTCCATCCGACCATCCTCAACCCACAAACTGGATTTTCCAAATATCACCCCAAACCAGAAAAATTTAGTTTCCCCTGCCCCCCAACCACAGCCTCCCTGCCCAGCCCATTATAGAAGTGAAGCCTCCCACCCATCCCAATAATGTCTACAAACTGCCACTCGCATCCAGATACAAGAAACCTACTTCTACCCCCCCGCCTCCCTCCCTGTTAGTGTGTTCTGTAGGCCACTTAGCTGGCCAGTATTTGAAAGTTGTATTTGTATTGGTCATTTGTCTGTTTTATGTTTAAAATATGTTGTAGTATTACTTCTTTTGGGTCATTCTCTTGTGAGAACTTTTTGAAGAAAATGCCTTCTGAAAAGAAAGGACAAATATCCAAAATACTGTGTAAATAAAATAATTCTTAATATTCGCATTCCATAAATGGGTTAATAGTTCTGTGGTTCACTTTTTTATAACTGGATAATTTGGAAAACATTTTTTTCTCCCTGTACAATTAAAGAATTGATTAAAGGATTCCAAGATCTGAGATAAGGATAGTTTGTGTATAATTAGTCGGGGTAGCTTAAGCCCTCTGTAACCTACTATAGTTCCTCAAGGACTGAACGATTTGAAGTATATGGAAATCTGCCCTGTCTTGTCCTGTGGTAGAAAACAAGAAAACTGTGAATTAAGTCATAGAACAAAACAGAACATTTCCAGTAAGCAGTTTTTTCTTCTTAATGTCCACTCTGCTTTCTTGAAATACCAAAATCCTATGTTGGAGTTGTTGGGCTATTTTCTTTTTTTTTAAGCACAAGCTTACTTAATTTAAAATATCAACATAAATTCCTTCAAGTAGTTGAAAAATAATATTTCCATTAATTTCATCAAAATTAAGTGCAATAAAAATTTAATATTTTCAAAGACACAAGCAACTGTTAGTTGTCCAGAATCATCTGACAGTTTTTGATGCACTATCTGTATATGTGACATTCACATTTGTAAGTAAAGGTAGTTTATTTTTTACTAAAATGTCAAGCATATTCGATATTGTTAATATAAGCAGAAATTACATTTCTGATATTCTGTTCCCTTACCCCCACAAAATAATACTTTAAACTCGGGATGTACCAATACATCGGTTCCATATCGGATCAGTACCAATATGAGGAAAATTGAGAGTATCGGCAGTCAGCTTTTTTTTGTCTGATTTGGCCAGTAATGTGGCTGATAAATACTACATGCATGCACGCAGCCAGGAGCACAGCTCGGCAACGTGAAGAGCAGCTGGCTCTGGCTGGTAAGTCTGTGGGGAAAGGGGCAAGGGTAGGGGCATGGCGGGGGGGGGGAAGATCGAGGCCCCTGTGGTGAGGGAGGGAGTAGAAGTAGGGCAGGGGCAGGGCTGGGCATGGGATGGAACTTAAGGGGCAGCTGCAGTCACCCCAAAATTTGCTGTGGCCCCCCTCAACTCCTCCCCCCAGCACTACCACCGCCTGCCCTGAAAGCAGCCTAACCCCTGCTGGGAAGAGCCCAGTGCAGCGCCGGCCCCAGCTTGGAGTGGCAGCCTGCCCCGTCCCACACACATATCCAGGGGTGCACACTCTATGCCCTCCTGGGGTGCATGCTTCCCCCCCCTCCCCACCCCTTCCCCCCCAACAGACTTGCCAGTGGGATGCCACTCTCCAGGCTGCGGGGCTGCATATCAGTTTGGTATCGGCCGATATGGCTCCTTAAAAATCAGCTATCAGTATCGGCCCCAGAAATTCCTATTGGTGCATTCCAACGTTAAAAAATTAAAGTTCTCCACATGTGATTGTCCATTTGGCTGTTGAAGCTCTACATTTGATCATCTTGTTACTGGAAAGAACAGCAAAATAACACTTTTTAGTGTTAGGGCCATAGATAGATTTGTTTTTAAATTGGTATAATTTTAGTTTATGTGACATCTTACAAACCTCCAAAAATGCCTGATTTATGCAAGGTTCTTAACAGCTTCTAATTTTTTTTAGAAGCCCTGTGATTTTTAAGTTGAACTAGTGTTCATTCAAAAGTACCAAGAATATTAATTGTGAAAAATATACGGTTTCACAAGAAATGGTCACTAAAATGAACGTACCAAGTATTTTTCTTTTAACCATCTATGCGGGTCATCTTTCAAGGTCGAACAAAAGTCATGGTAGTAAAATAATGTCCTTTTGCTGATTACTTTAAAAAGGTTGTGGTACAGCTACTCCTCGCTTAACGTAATAGTTACGTTCTTGAAAAATGTGACTTTAAGCGAACCAATGTTAACAAGCGGATCCAATTGCATTATAGTAGTTACCTACTAGCAGGCAGCAACCAAACAATGTTATAACCAAACATTGCGCGACTTTAAACGAATATGTTCTCCAATAGATCAGCGACATAATAACAAAACATTAACCAGGGCGACATTAAGTGAGGAGTTCCTGTATTTTAGGAATATATTTTGCATATTATTTTAATGTCTTCTGTTTGTATGTGTCACTTATTTTAATGTCTTTCTAAAAGTACATTGCATTGTGATTTTAACTTAAAAATTTTTTTGTGTGTTCAAGCTGAAATAATGCCAAGTAATCTTTAATAAATCTGACAAGCTAGCTCTTGAGTATCACTACATTAATATGTCTGTTGGTGGCAGTCTGTAAGGATTTGGGTATATAAATTTTTTCTGAGTAATAGAAATTTAAATATAAAGCTTCCTGTAATTACTTTTGCATTTTCCTCTCCCTCTTCTTTTTGGTTTTAAACTAACAAATGGACAGATGTATGCTAATTTTTACCAAATTTCAAAATTTGTGAGACTATATTAAAATATATATATCATAATTTTTTTTTCTCTCTCTCTCTCAGGCATTAGATGGCCAAAATATTTATAATGCCTGCTGTACTCTACGGATTGATTTTTCCAAACTGGTGAATTTAAATGTAAAGTACAACAATGATAAAAGTAGGGACTATACTCGACCCGATCTTCCATCTGGTGATGGGCAGCCAGCATTGGACCCAGCTATTGCTGCAGCATTTGCCAAAGAGACCTCACTTTTAGGTATGATTTTTAATCTTCAGCCCCCCACCCTTGATCCCAATTCATCTAATGCAAACAATTAAAAGTACTTGATAACTACAATGATTAATATTATGTTAGAGCGTGAGATCCTCCATCAGAGTTTTTCACTGTTGTTCACAAAAACAGGTTCTGTCCCTTATCACTTACTCTGTCAATAGATGTGACAGATAGATAGTAATGGGACAGATGTTGGGTAGATGGAAAATACCCAACAGTTGTCTGTTTACATTTTTAATTTCCTGTAATCATCCAATTAGGAGGCTTGCATGAGTTTATGGGAACAGAATTGGAGTCCTTATCTCTATTGTTATTTGGTCATAAAAATACTTCCTTGTTTTCATAGTTTTCAGTGTCGATTTTTCTTCACAGATTATTCACTTGAGATCAGAGGTATTGCACTATAATTTCTGTAAAGATGCAGTGAAAAAATACATCTTTAAACTTCTGTGTTTCTGTAAGGATCATTTTTGTTTTTTCCCTTGTATACATTGGAACTCTTAACATCTAATGCTCTGGTATGTGAGCTCAGGAGCTGACAAGGTATTAGAAACCATCAGAAGAAGCAGCTGAGATGCCCGGAGCAGTGTATAGATATCGTTACACTGTCAGATAAGTACACTGTCATAACCTCTTACACTCTTGGGTTACTGGCAGAGACAATTCATTCAGTACAGTGTACTTATTCAATAATTATTCAATAATTCTCTCTCAAATCATATTCTATCTTTACATTCTTTTTTAATTTATCAACACTGATAAATACTTCACTGACTGCATTCCATTTTTTCATAGTTGTGTTATTTTGAAGGATGTCTTGAGTGTTGTGTGTTTTTGGGCTTGTTTTGATCAACAGAGTTCAGATTTGGTCTAGATAATTTCACAAGACCCAGTGAATTGTGGTGCATTCCTTATTTTGCCTCCTTGTTGGCTGCTTTCTTTAGAATGGGGGTTGGTATATGGTCATGTGGCCCAGATCCATCTTATCCCATGGAGCCATTGGATCTGGCTCATGGATGTGGGACGTTGGCAGTATTCAGTGGCAGGGGCTTCTCTCATGCTGTGGTGAGGAGATGTGACAGCGGCTAGGTCTGACCTGAGCTCTGTCATTCTGACTTGTAATTGAAAAGGTTGCTGACCAGTGCTCAAGAAAGAGCACATGAAGAAAGAATTGCCATTCATGAAAAGTGCTTTATCAGTTAGTGAATAGGTTGTTTGCCTATTTGGGATTTTTTTGTGGTGTTTCCCTTGGAGTAGTTAGTTATCGGCATGGTCTGGTAACTGATCGCAGTTGTAATTGGAAGCTGTTTTTTATCTTTTGTCAGAAGGTGTATTTACATGGAACATGATACAGAGACACTGAGCTAGCTTTCACCTGGAAGCCAGTGGTAATGGGGATCGTGGACAGGGTGGCTGATGGGTAATTAAGGTGGAGAGCAAGCAACCATGTGTGTGTCAGCTTGTCTCCACATGATAGAATTTTGGGTTTTTTTTAAATTTCTTTTAAAATATAAAAACTTAAGTAATTGCATATTAAAAAAAAAAACCTATATGTAAAAAACCTTGTTAATATTACAAAATCACATTTTCAGAAGTTGAGACATCAACTTTTAAGCGTTGTTCTTGATGCACATTAAAGTAGCTTAATTAAAGAATGCATTGTAATACACTTCTTCACGACTAAGGATATACTCAATTTCACGATTTCACAATTTTCACAGAAACCACCAAAAAAAGGTGGCTTCCACAATCACTGCAAAAACACACTCTCCACAATTTTGCACGGAATCAACAGAAAAAAAAATACTAAAAATAAAATGTTGGCTCCCAGTCAGTGGGAGCTAGCCAACAGCCCCTGGGCCAGGCCTCGCAACTTGCAGAGTAGTGGAAGGGGGAAGCCACTAGCCTGAAGAGGAACAGCCAAGATGGTGGCAACAATCAACGGTGAGGGGAGGGGCTATGTGAAGGGCAATCCTCTTTGCCAATCAGAGGCAAGGGGTGGGGGGCCGCTGGGGGCCCTTAGCCAAGCGGGGGAGGGCAGGGGAAGGAATTACCATGAAAATGGTGCCAGGCACTATAAGCAACCTGCAATTCTTCTTTCACCTCCACATGCTTTTAAGTCAGGGGTGTCCAACCTTTTTGAATGTGGGGCCAGATCATGAACTTTTTATCACCCAGTGGCCAACGAGCCATACTCAAAGACCTCACAGGAAGTGGTATCACATCAGGAAGTGATGTCACGTGACCTTTGACACAAATGAAGTTGCAGGAAGTGACAATGAAATGGGTCTGGAAATGTGTTTAAAATCCAAAATAAAAACAATATAAAAGCAACAATGAAATAATGCAAACACTTGACTAAAATAAACACTTTCGCTTCTACTCACTTCTCAATGAAAGAAGCACAATGCAAGCTTGCCCTGGGACACCTGGGCATATAGCACCAGGTAGAAGAAGCCATGGAAGAGCAGCCGGCTGTTGGCCTCCAGCAGCAGCAGCGAGGAGGAGGAGAAGCAGTGCCTCAGGACGCTGCCCAGCTCCATCGGGGGCGAGGAGCCCAGTCTTCACACACAGCCATGTGCACGCCTCCCTCCTCGCCCCCGGCTCCCATGGAGGAGGAGGAGGAGGAGGAGAAAGTCACGAGTGTGACCTTGTGCTTCCTCCTCACGAGTGCACACACGTGTGTGGCACCCCTGCACGGGCTCCTCAGCATCCTGCCCGGGGACATGGCCCCGCTGATAGCTGGGCAGCCATGTTTCACTCTCGCGTACTCATCCCCACGCTGCACCGTGCCGCCCCTTCCCCACCGATGCAGTGCAGACCGCCCCCGGCATGGGGCTTAAAGGACCCAGCCCGGAGCCGGCCAAAAAAAGCTGGGGCGGGGGAGGCTTCCTCTGCCAGGGAGGGAGGAGGAGGAAGCAGAGGCGGTGCAGTGAGCCCGGGCTGGCGCCATGTGCTCACACGGGGACCTGCAAGCTGGGCATAGGGCAGTGCCCAGGCAGCCCCCGGTTGCAACTTCTCCGCCCACCACCAGGAAGATGAACCACGCAGGTAGTGTCGAGTGGGGAAGTTGCTGGGGCCTCAGGATGATGCTTCCTTCTCCCCAGCCACAGCCCCGAGGGGCAGAGCCAGGTGCAAGCGGTGATTTAGCGTGGGGGAAGTTGACTGGGGAGGGTCTGGGGGGGATTTCGTCCCTGCTTCCCTTGCCCATGTGTGCCCAGCTAGGCGCCGCTTGCTGCCCGCGGTGCTGGCCAGTGCAAGCTCTGCCCGGGACTGCCCCGAACGGCACTGATGACCTGCGCTTTTGCTGCCGGCTACTCCTCTTCCCACACGCACCGTGTCGGCAATGTCAACATGACGCAGTGCGTGTGGGAACCTTGTCCCTTCCCCAGCCATTCAGCAGCCATTAGGAAGCTGCTGAGGGGCTGGGGGAGGGACAAGGGGTGGGAACGAAAGTAAACAGTGTTTACTTTCATTTCCCATCACAGCACTGCAGGCCGCAGAAAATGGCTTGGTGGGCTGCATGTTGGACAAGCCTGCTTTAAGTATTTCCCTGTTCATGACACAATTGCACATTTTTTCCATTGGACCTCTGCCTCCTTTAGAGTACAGGATGGACCTACTCTAGTGTTGAATCAAGGTTATGCAGTAAAAGAAAGCTATTCTCTTAGAAGTCCTGTTTCATTTGTTATTGAAGTTGGGTATTTAGTGGATGAGGCACAGGAATGCAGGAAGTAAAAGAATTAGTCTGGTTAAGGCAATTGAATGCTGTCCGATTCCCATCAGTGTTTCAGAGTTCCAATGTGATGCAGTTTGTAGTATTTAAATACTTAACTTGAGACTTGTCTTATTTATAGAAGTCCTGATCATTTGCAGCTGCCATTGAAGTCAATAGGAGTTGTGCTTGGCCTGTTCATAGTGCTAGGAAATGCTGGGTTCCCTGAAAAATTAAATTTTTATGTCTAAAATTAGCATCCAAATTTGTATATATTCTAATTTCCAGTATGTAAAATTGAATTTATAAAACCTCACAGTTGAAAGGGAGTGGGTAAAATAAGTCAGATTGTGAAGAACATGAATGAGGTAGTGGTAAGTACCTTAAAGAAGTCCTTCAGGAAATTAACAATTTTGTTGTCAAACCAAGATTTGCAATGTGGTCACACATTGAGCAAAAGGGAAAAAATATTGCAAGTATTTATTAATGTATGCTCCATCCATTCCATGCATTGAACGAAGAAGGGATCCTATGGAAAAATAGTAGGTGCTAAACTGCTAAAGGTTGTGTCATAATTTGACTTTCAACTGCATATAAGTTAATGTTGTATGAACCACCTACATTGTCACGTTTCCTAACTTTGGAGAATTTTACTTGGTAAAGTAATGTTAAAGGCTGCAAAGGTGGTGGGGGTGGGGGGCGGTGTATGTGTGTAATTGTTTTCAATGTCAGCTTTGTCCATTCACCCAGCATAAATAGAAACCCACAGTGTGGAAAATTTGATGATATCAGTGCATTGCTTTTGATATGTACTAATTGTGGGTATTAGAATCATGGTAGATTTGGCAAAAGCACGTAAGTGCCGTTGGATCCTAAAGCACATGGAAAGTCACTGAAGTTAGGCTCCTCAGTCACCTAAGTGCTTTTGACATTTTTTTTCTACAGTGATTAAATTGTTACCTCTTATGAATTATTACTTTTAGAACAACAGCTATCTTGCCTTAGCATTAGCTCGGCTTTATGTTCAGCAGAGCAGTGTGTGAGGATTTAAAGAAGGTGGCAATTTGCCAGTTGAACTTTATATTAACATGAACTGTTTTTATCTTTTTGTATTACATAAAACACTTGTTGCAAGTGCTTGAAAACTGCTTGGATTACAATTGGAAAGCTTTCCCAAAGTTGAAATGGCCCAACACCATCGATGTATGTAGCATTCCTCCTCCTATTTCTATTTTTTTAAGGAGGGTGTGGGAGCTTACTGCATTAA